GGATCCCACATTAGGGCTAGTGATGCTGCACCCTCTACAGCTAAGATGGTGAACAACAGCTCAACCTGGAGCTGGGCTGCCAAGAGTCGCCGGTGGTGGCATAGGCCACAGTGAGGCTGCCGTGGGCTGCCTGTAAGCTACCGTGAGTGGCTGGCAACTGGTGAGAGCGGCCGGCAGCTGGCGTGAGCTGCTAAGAGCCACCGTGAGCGGCCGTCCAGTGGCTGGCGACCAATCTGCCTCACCTGGGAAGAATGCAATGATAATACCAACATGGGCCAGTGAAGGAACGTACTCCACCATTAGACTAAAGAACAAAAGGACAGCAACTTGTCTGTTCCCCTTCCCCAATTCCCCAATGCTGTTCCCCTCTCCCAATCCTCCAATAAACATCTTAAAAAAAAAATCAGAGTCCTTGTACAAAAACAAAATGTCTGATAACACTTTAAATAAGATTTATAAATAAATATAGAAAAGTTAATAGGTGACTATTTTATAATCTTGGGGTAGAGAAAGCTTTTGTAAGTCATGACCTCAAAGAGAGAAGGGATTGATGGATTTTAGTACATAAAAATCTAGAACTTCTTTACTATAAATGCCTGAACAGGGAGAAGGTCAACAAACTGGGTGGATATAATTGTAATATATTTAATAAACACAGGCTTATATCCCTAATATACAGAGTTCTAATAACCAATAAGAAAAAGACATGTAAAAGCCAAAATAAGAAAACTCTTAGAAAAAACATAGGACAAAAGCTTTACATTATTGGATTTGGCAGTGATTTCTTGGCTATGACATCAAATGCATAGGCAACAAAAGAAAAAACAGCCATATTGGCCTTCATGAAAATTTGAAATTTCACTATCCACAGAGTAAAAAGAAAACCCACAGAATGGGAGAAAGTATTTGCAAATCATATATCTGATCAGGAATTAATATCCAGAAAATAAGAGAACTCCTAAAACTCAAAAACAAAAACAATTCAATTCAAAATTGGACCCAGGACTTGAATAGACATTTCTCCAAAGAAGATAAACTAATGGCCAACGGGCACATGAAAAAATGCTCTGCATCACTAACCATTAGGGAAATTCAGATCAAAACTACAGTGAGACACCATGTCACACTCATCAGGATGGCTGCTATCAAAAACAAGTGTTGAAAACAAGAAAACAAGTGTTGGTGAGGAAGTGGGGAAATTGGAACTGTTATGCACTGTTGGTGAGAATGTAAAATAGTACTATCATTGCAGGAAACAGTATGGCAGTTCCACAAAAAATGAAAAGAATTAACATGATTCAGCAATTACACTTCTGAGTATATACCCAAAAGAATTGGAAGTAAAGCCTTGAAGAGATATTTGTACTACCATGTTCATAGAAACATTACAGCTAAAACATGGTAGCAACCCAAGTGTTCATCGATGGATGAATGGCTAAGCAAAATGTGATATATACATATGATGGAATATTATTCATCCTTAAAAAGGAAAGAAATTTTGCAATAGCTACAACATAGATGAGCCTTGAGGACATGCTAAAGGAAATAAATCAGTCACTAAAAGAAAATGCTGTATGATTCTACTTATATGAAGTACTTAGAGTAGTCAAAATCATAAAGACATAAAGTATAATGGTGGTTGTCTGGGGTTGGGGGAGGGGAGAATGGGAAGTTAATTGTTTAATGAATACAGAGTTTTTTGGGGATGATGAAAAAGTTCTAGAAATGGATAGTGGTGATGATTGCACAACATTGTTAATGTACTTAATGCAAATTCATTGTACATTTAAAAATGGTTAAAGTGGTAAATTTACAAGACAAAAAGTTATGGGAATAGATAATGGTGATGGTTGCACAACAATGTGAATGTATCTAATACTGAATTGTACACTTAAAATGGTGATGATGGTGAGTGTTATACTATGTGTATTTTACCACAATAAAAATATCTTTATATTATGGAACAACCATAAGTAGATTAATTAGAAATTATGTTATAGATAAAAATTTATTGACACAGAAAGGTGTCCATAGCATATTATGGAATAATGCTAGGAGCTATATAATAGGACCCTATTTATGTAAATTTATAAATAGATGTCTACATGTGGTAAATGCAAAGAGAAATATCTGGAAAGATGCTTGTTAAAATAGTAAAGTGGTCCTTCCAGATGATATCAACTTTTTATAATTCTCTGTAAAGCTGTTTTCATTTTGGGGCTTAGGAATACTTAAAAGTCAAATCAATGGGAGGCAGGACTAGAATGTCATTATAATTAAATAACCTTAAAATGAATCAATTTTATTATAATCATTTGAAGGAAAACTTTGTCAGAAAGGAATGATCAGTGTAAAGCACAGGAAAATGAAGCGTTAGGAGGCACCCTCGGGATGCCCAACTAAACCTATCGTGGATAGGTGCATGGTAGGCATGCCTGGTGCTCTGTGGCAGGTGTTGCCCTCTTGTGGATCATCATACTAACTTCTTTATCCAGTTTCATGTTCACCAAGTAACTTTTGTTCCTCTTAAAGTTGGTCTGTAGGGAGAGAATGACCTGGCTTTCCAATCAGCTAACAGTTATGCGTCTCAAAGTATATTAGTAAGTTGCTATTCTGGTTTATATACTGGGCTCTGTGCTTGAGTAATGACAGTCTACACTAGAGAAATGGATCCTGTATAATCAGTTGCTGTATAAGAAATCGCCCCAAACCTTAGTAGCCTAAAACAACAGTAACCGGTAATTATCTCTAACAGTTTCTGTTCAGGAATTTGGAAGTGGCTTCGCTAGGCAGTTATGGCTCAGGGTGTCTCATGAAGTTGCAGGTTGATGCATTTCCAAGTTGGCTCACTCACATGACTGGCAAATTGGTTTTGGCTATTGAGTCCCTAGCTCAGCTCCTTTCCACATAAATCTCCCATTGAGTGTCCTCGCCACATGGCAGCTGGTTCCCCCCAGAGTGAGCAATCCAAGAGACCAACGCAAAAGTAGCAGTGCCATGCCATTATGGTCTAGCCTCAGAAGTCACATGCCATCATTTCTGCTATATTCTGTTGGTCACACAGGAAAATCCCTGATTCCGAATGAGAGAGGACTACACAAAGGCATGAATACTAGGAGGTGCGGATCATTGGGGGCCGTCTTGGAGACGCTACCACAGAGCTCATCAACCAAGTGGCCATCCCCGGCACACCTGCACCTCACTACATGCCTTTCATTCAAAATAACACAATATTCTATAGCTTTTACATCTGTAATCATAGTTCATCACAACCCTGCCAGGGAGAGCAACAGAAGTGGGGTTCTCCTCAAAGAACCCCTCTGTGTCTCAGGCACAGATTGATTTGAATTAGACTAGTCATGATAAGGAAAATGTCAAGCTCCTGTGTTGTGTTTTGCAACATTTCTGCTAAAATCACCCTTTATGTTTGCTTGTATTGAAATTGAACACTGAAAGGAAAACATATATTCCCCAACATTAATACAATTATTCAAACAACTAACTTATTTTAATAAGATCATAAAAGTGATAGCAGACAATGTTACATGTTGATGGGGAAATTCAACTCACTTTCTTCATAAACTTACAAAGAGAAATATAATGTTCCTAAACAAATAAACATAGTCTCGTGGTTAAAGATTATACATCAATAGTTAAAGTAGAATCTCATAGGAAAGCTTTGTTCGAGTCAGTCTCAATTTTTTATGACAAGATATCAAATAACTATAAATCAATAAGAACCATCTTCAACCTGACTTACGCTTGGTGTCTTCAAGATATGTTGTAATTACTCTCTCCCACTTTTATCCTTTTCTACTAAACAAGCAAGACATAATGGCTAGCTGAGTGTTGTTCATTCTAGTTTTGTGCCAGTAGCTCAAAGTTTTTCATTCTATTGCCATTACCTAAAAACATGGGTTTGGGTTTCAACTTTATGCCTGTGATCAAGGCTGAATTTAAAGATGCAGAAACAATGAATCTGACCATGCTATAACCATGGTGACCCTTCAGAGTCAATAGTGGAATGTTGGATATGGTAGGTCTAGATCAGAGACAGACAGAGAGAAGCATGTGAAACAGAAAGAAAGATCACAGTGTCTCTTATCCAAAACAGTCATCCAAGTTGGAAAGTCACCCTTCAAAATCAAGAAAGAACCAGAGCTGATTAGGATAGGTGAGAGGAGAGGGTGGTGAGAAACGACAGTTGAATTTATTATATGACGTCCACCTACCGGACAGTGGTTTCCAGATGAAGAAACCAAGGCTCAGTTAAATCAAGTAATTTGTCCAAGGTGCACAACTAGTCATTTATGATTGAAACCAACAACTAACTCCAATTCCCTTCTGTAATCCTGCACTCACTCCTGGGCCAAGAATGTGAGAATTTATGATTTGAGCAACCTGGGTATTTACCTCAGAGTCAACCAAACCACCCGTGAAACCTGGAAAAGGCTGGAACTCTATTTTTGACTTGTATGCAGTGTAGTTCCAAACCAAATTGGGACAAATTTGTACCTTGTACCTTATTAAGACTGGAGTGAACACAGTAGGATTGATTTGAATAGCCTTGCCTTAATAGGATATTTGGGCTGATTTCTTCTCTGGATGAGTCTCTGAGAATTCCTAGAATCTGGCGAGTAAGAGAGGGTATGGAGCCTTCCCTATATGCGAAGAAATCCTGGTTTTGCTAAGAACTTGACCAAGGTCTTGGTGGTGTCAACTCTGAAGATAAATCCACAGTTTCCTTGCAGTTACTGCTCGAGATTCTCTGAAGAATTGTGGCTGTATTCCAGGATGTTTAATAGGAAACTCCTTCCTTTATGACATCACTGAGCAGTTAGCAAAAGGGACTATTTGAAACACCCTTAGAACAACAGCCAGTTTTGTGGGAATACAAGAAAAGCAGCTTTTAAAACTGAGGGTAAATATTCAGGCTTCAATAGGACCCTGAATACAAGCCAGCTGGTAAACTATGGGATCTCCCCAGAGGGGCCTATCAAATGGTGAAGACAAGTAAAACTGGGTCCAAGGTAGCGGTGTCAGTACAGAAAGGGGCTGAGATTACTAACACACCCCCTCAGCGGGGACATGGAAACTATCCTGCCGTGAGCCAGCAAAGTGCTACAGCCTCCACAAGCCCTTCTATCCTTCGAAGGTCAGAAGCTGGGCCTCCCACCATTCCCCCTTCATCAGACTATCCTCCATCTGTCTCCTTCCAATTAGGACCTGGCTTCTCAGGAGCACCCATCCTTCGAGGAACCGAGAGCCGATCGAAATCAGAAGCATACCGCCATTCCTCTGTTCAGCGAAAGATCCAGCAAGCTCAGACATCAGCTTCTCCTGCCATCCAGATGCAGCGGAACGTCAGTCCACCCAAAGAGGAGTCAACACGAAGAGGGGGTGAGAGCAAGTCAGGGTGTGACCGCTATAATCGTTACTCATTAACCCCAGATGCCAGATCCTCTCGCCATTTGAGTTTTGCAGACCAGAAGGATAACGCACAAATCGTACAAGAAGACGACACACCCTCCAAGGTCCAGTACCCACAAGGAGTCCGAGTTTCCCGCAGGACTTTGATTTTCCCAAAGGATGAAGCAGTCCAAACTGAACCAACTCGAAAGAGTGTGACTGCTGCTGAGATCAAATTTTTTCCAAGGAGACCCTGTAGCCCAGAGCATGGCAGCAGCCGTGTCTGTGCAGACACTCGGACAGCCCAGAGAAGGACCCCTAGCCAAGAGCCTGAAACGGGTCGTCACAGCTCAATTTATCCAGAACCCAAGGCCTTGCATAGGAATATAAACTTGGCATCATCCCTCAGACTCTCTGTCCTTAAAGATAATACAGATGGTGGACACCGAGTTTCTCTGCGTACAGAGCCTGAGTCTGTCCACAAGCATTCCGCCTACACTGAAACCAAGTCTTTCCCCAAAGTCTTAATATCATCAGAAGTGGAGCCCAACATGAAGTCCTCGATGCGAGGAGACAGCGAGGGTGGCCGCAGGGTCACCATCTCCTCAGAGGTACAGACAATGCAGCCAGCTCATCGTGTGACATCTCGAGCAGTATCTGAGAGCCCCCACAAGTCTTCCATGGTTGCCACTCCAGAGCCCGTCTATAAGCAGCACACTCAAAGACCCTCAGAAAGTGTCTGCACGTCCTCAGGACCCTCACTCAGGTATCCAGAACCCTCCCGAAAGCCCTCTGTTCATGCAAAACTGGAACTGAGCCCTCGGCCCTTACCCCCTCGGGCCTTACCTAGGTACGGGCCTGAGTCGTCCTGGTGGGCCTTACTCAATCCTGAAGCTGAAATGCCCCAAAGCTGGCCAACAGCACCTGATTTCGAGCCTAAGTCCCCTCCTCCCCTAGACCCTCTATTGTCCTTTTTTGAAATGGACTCAAGCCCTTTCTGTGAGGATCTGATGTTTCAGAGGGAGAAGGCAAGTCCAGCAGCAGCACCAGCAGCACCAGCAGCACCGCTACCATCACCAAAGGAGCCTCCAAGCCAGGCACCATTGAAGGAAGTGTCACAGGCCCCCCAAAGCACCACCAAACAACCCATTCAAAGGTTTAGTGCTTTCTTCTTGGGTATGTGAAGAAGCAGACTGCCCAGATGCAGCCCTGATTTAGAGAGGTGGGACGTGGGTGGGCAGGAAAGGCCCTTCCTCCTGGGCCTCAGAGCTGCCCTCCTGCCTGTGTCAAAGCTAGACCCATCTTAGAGCCCGTTGCTCCATTCCTTCCCCACCAGCTTCCCTGAGCTCCAAGCTAATGACATCGGTGACGATGCTTGGGTTGGTGTCGGGCATTGACTCTTCCAGGCAACGCTACTTAATCTTTCCATGAAAGGTAGTAGAAGGTGGTTAGTAGGGTGGGGGGTTGCATCCTGAGAGAGGACATGAAGAACTGAGCTGGGGTGAGGGTTGGTAAAGAGAATAAGGTCCTCAGGTAAATATTCTGGCAACAAAGTAGAGGTGGTAAGGCATAGACAAGCTGGGACTTAAGATCTCAAAGAGGGAAAAGGCATTAACTGGCACAAAGAGGGTGGAAGAAAAGGAGAAGGCGAGTGGGAATGTGACATTTAGTCCTAAGTTTAAGGAGCCTATTGGAGAGGATCCAGGGCTGAGGGCACCTGAGGGTGGAGAAATTGGAGCTCGAAAGGGAGATGTTAAGTAGTGGGGGGAGGGAGGTATGCATCCCACAGAGAGAAAAAAAGCAACAATCTCTTACTTTCAGATGTCTCTGAGGAAATGTACAATCGCATCATCTGGTGGCTAGAAGGTCTGTGCTTTTCCCTCCTGTGGGTGCATTGTGGGGGTTTGGGAGGCAGGAGGACAGGCGGGAAGGTTGCCTCGATGTGTCTCCAGAGCTAGGTCTCTTAGGACACGGTACATGTTGGGGCTTTGACTTGAAGGAACAGACGAACTTCTCATCTTGCCTAAAATTCCACTATTAGTTAATCCTTTGGGGCTTGGAACCTATTTCATTTTCAAGAGCCTCTTTTTAATGGGAGGTAGTGACTTCTGGAATGGAGAACAATTTAAGCCCATGGCCTTTCAGCTTAGCTGGTCTTCACTATCATGTGATAAAAACAAACCCCACCGAAACAAATTACCTGCTTCACAGTCTCACTCAGAGCTGACCCCACACTAATTCAGGTTGAGGGGTCTCCTCATGTGCCTCTCTGGTTCCTCAGACCCTTCCTCAAGCCCCCATCCCAGGACCTGGGAGATACTTATTGGCTGCTACCCAGCAAAATCTCCAGGGGTATCTGGGCCTCCACCTTGAGGCCATCAGTGGATCCTGCAGCCGACTCGAGAGTCCTTAAGAGAAGTGTCCTCAGGGCCTGGCGACCCCCTGAGCCCCTTTGCACTCTTGACCTCTGTGATGGGCAAGAAGGTAGGGACCAGCCCTGATGCAGTGAATCTTAGTGGCAAGGAGTTCCTGCTTCAAGTGTTGTCGTCCAAAATACGCACCAGCCCTGTGAGCATGAGCAAGGCCAGGGCTCTGGATGAGAAAGTTCCTAGAAAAGAGCGAGCCCTGGGAATGCAGTCCAGTCCCAACCAGCATGAGCCCCCAAGTGATAGAGAAGGGCAGCCCTGCCCCTCAGAGGGAGCAAAGCTCCCGTAAAGTAGTGGTTTAGTAGAATATGGATTCTGGAGTTATATTATGGGTGTTGAGCGCTGTGTCCACTATTTTCTAACTGTAACCTTGGGTAAGTATTTTACCTCTCTAATCATGAGCTTTCCGCATCTGTTAATGGGAACGATGACTTCCTTTTAGGATCCTTGTGAGGACTGACCAAGCTATTACATGGAAAGCATTTAGCCTGGTCCCTGGCAACAAGGAGCACTCAAATGCTAGCTGTTGTTATCTGGGCCACTTGCACTAGGAGGGGATTTGGGCCTGGTTATGCCCAAGTCCACTGGATATCTGTAGTAAAATTCTCTCTTTCCCCTCCTGTTGACACTCTCTGAACTCCATTTGCTGCTCACTGGGGATGCCTGGCTTCTGCTTCTCCATTATGACAGATGAGGAGGTAAGAATGCCCCTGGGAGGTTACTTCCGGTCTTCCTGTGCGGGGGCCCCCCCCCCCCTGCTTATCCAAGTCCCTGTCTTACCCTCTGATGAGAGCAGGTGTGGAGGGAGACAGAGCTGCTCCATGTGGCTGGGCCGGTTGTTCACAAAGGCACCTGGCAGAGAAGGCATGCGGGGGCAGAAATCTGGCCTGTGTTCCACTTGCCAAGCTGTGCATCTATGGGGCTGCATCTCCCCAGAGGGCAGTTAGCTCGAAGGTGCTCTATGAGCTAGTTGCAGCCCGGGAGAAAAAGAGTAGACATCTTTTGGCAAATAATGAACCCTGCCAAGTGCTCTGTGAGAAGGCTGTCTGGAAAGCCATAGGTTGGATTGGTCTCCACTGGGCTGTCCCCTCTCCAGCCTAGGGCACTCCAGAAAGGGGACACTTTTCTGGGTTACACACTATTTGAGTCCTCACCTTGGAAAGCCACAAGGTGAACTCTGCTCTCGGCAGCCCTGTGTCCTGAATTTGGCAGTGTCCTGATTTCATAGTGCCTTGTTCCCATACGTACTTAGTTCTTCTAGACCCATGTTTGATAAGATAGTCCAAGCTCGTTCTGTCTCCGTTCTGTCTCTCGTTATATCTCTTTCATACCCAAAGCCTAGCATGGCCTCTGATGGGTCCCATCCATGGGCTAGCCCAGGACGGACAGTTGACTACAGATGGAAAACAAATGGTGGGGGGCAGGATAGCTCAGCTCAGATAACGGAACAGCTGCAGGGGAGGTGCCAGAAATGCGGCTGCCACCTTCTCTGCCATGGCTCCTTACCCAGCCCCGTGCCCTGAGCTCAGCTGTGGGTGGGAGCAGCTACTTTTAGAGATTATCTCCATGCAAGACAGTAAATCCTTCTCTCCCTCCCCCCTTTCCCTCTTCCTTCCTTCCCCCTCCTCTTCCTCTCTTCCATAAACAGTTTTTATTCAGATGCCTAGCACTCTGCTAGGCACTATTGGGGAAAGCATTGAAGGCTCACAGCACCCACATTCTTTGGCCTTGAGAAACCATCTGGATAGAAAGATAAGACAGGGACAGGAAACGTTTAAACAACAATATGAAAGTTTGTGCTCGAATGTCCAAATAAATGCAGCAGACTGCATAGGTGGTCTTGGCGGGTCTTAGGAGAGGGAATCAGCAGGGCATTTGGTGGGGTCAGGTTACCCCTCCTTCCCAAAGCCAGGGGGTATTTTAACAGCTAGCCTCTTGCTGTTGTATTTTAACAGCTAGCCTGGATGCAAATCTCTACCTTGGGGAAAGGGTTAGTATTTTCCCTATTTCAGGATATGATGTTTTTGACAGAGCATGTTCCTCCTTATTCTCCCCCACCCTCACCCCCTTTCCTTGTGCATCTTGTTTTAGTTTAGGAAGTCAAACTCCTTGGCAGCAGGACAGCGCCTTCCCAAAATAGCTCTTATCCTGTCTCGATAATTGCAGCTCTCCAGCCCTGTGCAGTAGCAGAGCTTCTCCCCAGAAGCTGGGAAGACAAGACTCACAGGCAGCTGGGCCTGCTGGTCTTTCCTGGCTGTCTGGATGTGGAATGGCATGGACGTGGGCCAGGTGCTGTCCTCACAGAGTGAGAGAGCTAGGCCTTCCCCCAGGCTGCAGGGCCCACAGGCGGTCCCAGGATGGAGACTGTGGTGCTGGTGTCCAAGGACTCTGGTTCCGGTGAGCTGGGAATGGTTGACTGTAGAGTCTGTTCCAGATTCCATTCCCGGCAGGAATTCTCTGGTGGCCCAGCCACAGCCCCTGGCTTGTGGACTGCAGCATGTTTGTTGAGCTTTCCAAGCCATTCTAGGTCTGCAGCTGGGGATGAAACCAGTTCAGCCCATCTCTCTGTCTCCTAACAAGTGGCATCTCAAGGCCCTTTGGTCTAAGGAGCGGGATGGACAGATGCTTCTCATCCTTGAATTGGGACTTAAGGGCTGGAATTTCTGCAGAGGAGGTTGTGCTGGACTGAGAAATACATTCTTGATGGTTTTATTATTTTTTTTCTTTGTATCATAACTAACAGAAGCTCAACAGGAAGGTCCTAGGGGTGACCTTTGAGGTCAGCAGGGTCTGTCTTCTCACATAGCCCTGGGAAATTCTGTGGAATAAAACAGCTCTTGATGGGAGGGGCTATAACAACCGTGATGGGATGGGGCTGACCTGGCCTCAAGATCCTGTATCCTCAAGGCACCCAACCTACTTGCCCTTGAATGTGACTTCTCAGGCTGTCAGTGGACATGGTTGTTTACTCCCTACTATATCTATCAATTATGCAAGAAACCAACTCTGGAAAAATAGGCCAAGAACCAGAGGAAGCCGTCTCAGTGATACCTAAGGCAGCCTTCCGTGTCTTTAGGGTGACATGTCATTTGGCCCCTTGGGAATGGTACGGCCAGCCTCCTGTTGGCTCCTGAGCCACAGGGATGATTTGTTCAGGTAGATTTTCTTGACAAAGAGACCTCCAGAGCCTAGAAGGAAAGCAGGGAGGCTCTGCATTCATGGGGATGTTAGCAGACTCCTAGGGTATGGGCTGTTGGAAGGGAACCCTGGAACCATCTTTCCCACTCCCCTTATTTTCTCTCACTTTGTACAGAGGCTCATAGTTGAGAGGAAAGGGAATTGTTGAAGGAATGGAGCAGAGCTGCTGAAAATGGGGCAGGGCACCTCGGGAGGCTTTTCATAGCAGCTTAGCCCTCACTACACGGCTTCTTTTCCTGTCAGATGGTACTTTGTTCATTTCCAGCTACCACGGGCAGCCACATCCAGAACAGGATGGGAGGCTGGTGACCTCTGGCCCAGACATGCTATTTTGGGGACAGGCTAGGTTGACCAACTCATCAGGGTTTGCCCAGGACTGTCCTGGGCATTGAAAGTCCTGCATCCGGGGAATCCCTGAGTCCTGGGCAAACTAGGACAATTGGTCACGCTAGGACAGGCTGAGGTGTGGTCACCCTAGGAACCACTAGAAGCACAGAGCAGAGGGATGATGTCCTGCCTTCACCGTGAGACCTGGGCAGACCGCCCCCTCTGCCCGTGAAGTGGGGGCAGGGAAATGCTACTCCTCCTTCTCAGGCTTGATGGCAGAACTGAGGCCAGAATCCCTTCGTTTTTTGGTCCTTCCCAGAATGATCCCACACAGGGAAGAACCTGGCACATTTATTTTCGACTTCCTGGTGTATTTCCCAGAAGCTACTTGGTTCTCTGCCTGGAACCTATCTCCAACATTATGTCTCTGTCAGAGTAGTTTGATGGTGTTTGAAATGGGTTTTTCAAGTAAGAGGAGAAACAGTGGGCCTGGGTAGACGAGGGAGCTTGGCTTCAGAAGGTGCATACTTGGGTGAGGAAGCCAATCTGTAACACAGAAGCCACCCCGACAGCTGCTCAGCCAGAGGAAGGCTGTCCTGAGTGACAGAAATGACCATGTTTCTTCCCCCTCTTCTGCTCAGCTGCCTTTGGCCCAGCTGCCCTCAGGAGGGAAGCACAACAGCTGCACCTTGGGGGCTGAGTAAAGGCCTGGAGGAGGGGGACAGAATGTGAGGCAGTTCCTGAGAGCAGCTCAGGCTCTGGTGCTGGAGGTGAGAAGGCTGGGTCAGCCAGTCATTTCCTGGGCACACCCACAGGCAAAGTCAGCTAGCTCCCGAAGTCTCCCCAGTGGCGGTTTTGGGGAATTAGGCTCAGTAAGTCTGAAACCAAGACCTGTTTTCCGAGATGGAGTGGTGTCTAGCCGGAGAAGCCGACTCCATAGTTCGTGGCTGCATGGTCATTCCCATGTCACTTTAGTCTAAGGCTCTTCCTCCAATGCTGGACACCCATCACACATGCACGTGCCTAATCCTTTGGAGGGAAGGCATTTGAAAGAGTCACAGTTGACAGTTGCTGGTTTGGTGTTGACAATTTTCTCATTAGCTGAGATAATAGCTACCACTCATCTTAGTGATTATACCATGCTAAGTGTGTTACTTTAGCACCCCATGAGATGGACTTTCTTCTCCCGATTTCATGAGGAAACAGGGGCTCAGAGCTGGCTTATCAAAGCTGGGAGTGCTTTAGGGAGTATCTTGCCCCAGGGATTCAGATGTGGCACAGAAACTCTTCTTCTGTAGCCATATCTTCTGGGAAAATAACTTTTCAATATTTCAGCAGCACCTTTAGATATCAAGAATGGTGAAGGGAAAGGTGTTAGTGAGGGTCACATCTGTGTCTTTGCATGTGAACTGTAAGGCTCGGTGTTGGGTGTGAGCTGGTAAGCAGCCAGGATGAAGGGCAGGTTATGGGTCAACAAAGCAAGAGCCTCAAGGCTTGCCTGTGCTTCAAAATCAGAGTGGAAAACGAATCAGTGAATCCTTTATTGACAGTCCATATTGACCAGACATCTGGTGGTGGGGGGGGGGGTGAGCAGAGGCCTGGTCACTCACCCAGGCAGACATCACATCACATGCTCACTGAATTGAAGTAAATAGAGGTTAAAATAGAAGACATATTTCCTGTTCTTGAGGGGCTTGTGGTTAATTGGGGAGAGGAAAGTATACAGATGGGTCACTTGAAAAGGTGTAGACATCAAAGACAAAGTCCAGTGAAATGAGTGAGCAAAGCTTCTGGCATGGAGGCAGTTGGAGGGTAAAGGCAAGGGGGAGACAGATCTCAGCTCAGGATAATGACCTTCGTGACCAAAGATGGAAGGGCAGTTGTTAGAGTTAGTGAGTTTTTAAGCAGAGGCTGGGAGGGCAGGGGCGGGGCCTTGAAGGGGGTTAGACTCCAGTGGGTATTGGCATTGGGAGGTATGTAAGTCCCTTCCATCCCTGAGCTCCTATGCCCTGCCCTGCTGCAGAGAGGGTGTTTGAAGGGCCCTCTGGTTGGCATCTAGCATCCTGCCAGGTCCGGAACTGCAGCCTTTCAGCAAGTGCCAGGGAACACAGTGCTCCGTGGCCTTTCCACCCACATCTCACAC